AACATTTTCAAATAACTTAAACTTGAGTTATGTTTGGGATTTAAAATCTTTAAACTGAAAATAATTTTTTTGTTTTGTTTGATTTAGTAAAAAATACTAAAAATATTTAATTTGACGTTTGATTTCATGGAAAATGAAAACGAAATATATTAATGGAAATAAAAATAAAACAAAATAGAAATTTTTATTTTGTCAAAAATTTTGTTTATTTTTATTTTGTCAAAAGTCTCTGCTGAACTAAAATGTAGCACACTGCTGAACTAAAATATAGCACAAACACCTTTTATAAAAGTGGAAAACCCAGTTTAATAGGGAAAACCAAATTTTATCTTATTGTAAAAATTGTTTAAAACTCTGTGGCAAGTACATTCATCATTCAAACTAGATATTTTAACAACAGAAAAAACTATGCAGATTCATGCAGATATTAAACTCTCAACCGGAAGTATAATGACAAAACAACAAATGTTTTTTGTTAATATCTCAATAAATAAATTGCTTTGGTAATTTTAAATAAACTCAAAACTCATTTTTTATTGTTTATCTACAAAATAAATATAACTTGTCTCAGCACTTGGGAATCCCTTTAACATTCAAAAATAAATTATAACTATCAACAATTCTTTTTTCATTTCGGCTTTAACAAAATCTTTGCCTACTATTCATAAACTAGTTAATCATTTCTAATCTAGTTAATCTAGTTAATCTATATTCTATTCTATAACGTTCATTCTATGATCAATCTAAAAAATTAATGATAATGAAAAAATTTTTAAAAAAGCAATTTCAAAACTAAAAAAATCCTCTCTTCATAAATTTTCAATAAAAGTATTGGCATAACATAAATGGGTTAATGCTTAGGTAAAATGCACACGTAACACTTCTCAACAAGGCCTGAGATAATCACCAAGAATTTCTATGCAAGTCTTCTTTGATTTACTTAGATAAAAATTCTCTTTTCAGTTTATGGTTTATTTATTTTTAATTTTAGTTTAAGCTTAAATTTGTTTACCCAGTGCATTTTTAAATTCTCAGATTTTTCATCTCAGTGCATTTTTAAATTCTCAAAACTTGCAAAGAGCCGTGGCCAAGTTGTCAAAACAAAATGTGAAATGTATTTCCTCAGAAGGCTCACCAAGTATCTTTCAAAGTTTAGTTTACTGTCAACTAAGTGAAAAAGCCTGACACCTTTGCATGTCATAAAATAGAAATGAAAACACTACCTCGCTTAGCGCATTTTGATACACAATCATCTTTAATGCATTTTTCAGTGGTTTTTCGATGCAGCATTACTCAACCTTTATGATTATGAACCTCAAAACTCATTTTAATGCTTAAGACTACTTCACACCGCTGATTTACCACTATTTTTTTTGAGCCGAACATGAATTCATGTTCAGCTCAAAAGTTCATGAATTTTTTTTTAAGTTCATGAGTAAATTTGAGTAAATTTGCTGTGAGTTGAAGTTGCTTTTTGCTAACCATTTTAATTCAATTGAATTTTTAACATGTTTTTTGATTTTGTTTTTATTATATATATATATATATATATATATATATATATATATATATATATACATATATATATATATATATATATATATATATATATATATTATATTATATATATATATATATATTATATATATATAATATATATTAATATATATATATATATATATATATATATATATATATATATATATATATATATATATATATATATATATATATATATATATATATATATATATTATATATATAATATATATTAATATATATATATATATATATATATATATATATATATATATATATATATATAAAATACACTGTAAATCTAAAAGGTTCTTTGCCAGTTCTTTGAAAAGCCTAAATGTTCTTAGAGAAAATTTAAGGTTCTTTAAAGAACCTACAGGTTCTTAATATTCTCTAATGGTTTTCTGAAGAAGCGGCGGCTTATTTACAAAGCCATACAAAGAACCCACAAGGTTCTTCAAATCATTTTACGGAAAACCTCGAAGACCCTTAATTTAGGGTTCTTCAAATTGTTTGTAAACGCCATTTTATTTTTCTAATTGGTCATTATATATGTAGACTTGTATGAATTTATAACGAATGGTATAATAACAATAACAAATGAATATCATGATAGTATTTAATTTGTGCTTTAAACATTTGAGTTGTTTTTATTACCCTTGTTAACATCAACAGCAATTATAAAAGCAACATATTTTTATTATTATTTTAGAGCAGTTTTCTTATTCCTATATGCTTTCCTATATGCATTATGCATATTATAAATATATTATTGTATATTACGAAATGGCTTTGTTTAGATAAATAAATACATATTATTTGTTAAAATTTAAAAAATGGCAGGTTATTTGAACTGGAGTGTAGAAGATGTTTGCGTATACATAGAACTTAAAGGACTCCCAGAACTTAGACAAAAAGTTATTGATTAGATTGAAGTTTCTATTTATTTTCAATTATATAAGTGTTATATATATATATATATATATATATATATATATATATATATATACATATATACATATATATGTATATATATATATGTATATGTATATATATGTATATATATATATATATATATATATATATATATATATATATATATATATATATATATATATATATATATATATATATATATATATATGTATATATATATATATATATATATATATATATATATATATATATATATATATATATATATATATATATATATATATATATATAGTGTTGATTGGCTTCAATGTTTTCATGCCAAAAATGTTCAAGAAATGTATGACAAGTTAATTCATTACACTGAAGAAGCATGTAACTTATATGTACCTATAAACACTTTGTAAATTCGTCATCAAAGAACCCATGGCTGACCAAAGAATTAATCTCACTCATTAGAGAAAAACGAAACTTAAGATACAGAAAATGGAAATTCGAGTAAATGGAAAAACTCAAATCTTTGTAAACAATATAAAGAATTATCAAAAAGAGTTTCATTTGAAATTTCCATAGCAAGACGAAAGTATGAGTTATTGATTGTTGATAAAGCTAAAAAGAACCCAAAACTATTATATAGATATATGAATTCACAACAATATGTTAAAGACTCTATATAAGTTCTGAGACAACCAAACGGTGAAATAACTCAAGATTCAGAAAAGATTGCTGATCTACTGAACATAAATTTTCAAAACGTTTTTGTCAAAGAAAATAATAAGTGCACTCCATTATTTAAAAATAGAATCAATGATAACACCTTTAATCTATCTTCTGAAGATATCCATTATGATGATGTCCTTGAAAGGCTAAATAATCTTGATGAAAACAAAGCGTATGGAGTTGACAAGTTACATCCATCTATATTGAAAAACTGTGCTATTGCCTTTGCTCTTCCTCTCACAATAATAATTTATGGAATCAATAAAAAAAAGTCAACTATCAAATCAATTTAATTCAGCAAATATAACTGCACTATATAAAAAAGATGACAAGACTGATTCTGGAAATTATAGACCTATATCACTACCTTGTGTTACTTTTAAAATACTTCAAGGCATAATAAAAAGAAAGTTAGAAAAATATCTTTATGAAAATAATATTATAGCTAATCAACAGCATGGGTTTGTTAAAAACAGGTCATGTACGACAAATTTACTTGAAACTTTAGATTATATTACAAGAAATGTTGATCAAGGAATTCCTGTTGATGTAGTTTTACTTGATTTTAAAAAAGCGCTTGATAGCGTTCCCCATCAAAGGCTTATCTCAAAACTTAAAGCATATGGTGTTAGTGGCTTGGCACTTGATTGGTTTCGAGCTTTCTTATCTAATAGAAGGCATAGAGTCGTTATAGGAGATTATGTTTCAACTTGGGCTGAGGTGCACAGCGGAGTTCCCCAAGGTTCAGTATTGGGTCCACTACATTTTATACTCTATATAAATGATCTTCCAGAGTCTCTGAAGAATATTTCAAAATTTTATGCTGATGACACAAAAATCATGTCAATTAGTTCTTCTGATGAGTTACATAATAAACTACAGTGGGATTTAAACTCTGCATATGCTTGGACACAAGACTGGCTGCTTAGTTTTAATATTGAAAAGTGTCTAGTTATGCACTATGGCTATAAAAATAAGAGACCCAATTTATATAAATGGTTGTAAACTCAATACATCAGATTCAGAAATGGACCTAGGAGTGATTTTTTCAGATAACTTGAAGTGGAAAAATCAAGCATTATCGAGTGCAAGCAACGCTAATCGCATGTTGGGCATAATAAAAAAATCTTTTGTTCGATTTGATGCTGAACTGCTTAAATCCCTATATCTTTCATTTGTTTGACCGCTACTTGAGTTTGCTATACCAGTATGGGCTCCTTATCAAAAACAAGATATAATCATTTTTAAAAAAATTCCAGCGTCGTGCCACTAAACTAATACCTCAAATTAGTAAATTATGCTATGAAGATCGACTTTCAAAGAACCCTCTAAAAGGGTTCTTTGAAGAACCTCTAAGAACCTCTGAAGAACCCTTATAGGTTCTTTAAAGAACCATTGGGCTTAAGAGTGTATGTATATATATATGAAATATGTATATATATATGTATATATATATATATATGTATATATATATATATATATATATATATATATATATATATATATATATGTATATATATATATATATATATATATATATATATATATATATATATATATATATATATATATATATATGTATATGTATATATATATATATATATATATATATATATATATATATATATATATATATCTGTGCGAGTGTGCATGTGTATATAAACATTTTTAGGTACATAACCTAGCATGAAACTGATAATGTCATACTGAAATAGTCATCTGTGGGCTTTGATGTATATATGTATGTATGTGCGCATGAATGCATACACAAAAATTATAATGCACCTAATAGAACAACATGTACTTACAAAACAAAATTTTCATCAACTAATATATCACATTCGGTTGCTGGGCAAAATATATTCTGGCTATTACTTTCATCTCGTATTTTTGCTACTAAGTAATCATTCCAACACTTATGACAAAAGTAATGACCACATTCCAAGCCAGTAAAAGTCTAAAAGTAAACAAATTTTATAAATCACATAAGTTAATTCTCCATTAATGTATATTTTTATTTTATACCTTGTTTCTGAGTATAGTTATAAATTTTTTTCTCAATTTTACGTTTACATTAAATTATTACATAATAAGTATAAGAAGTACTTCATTAGGTAATGTACACAGACATATTCCACAATCAACTTTCATTAGTGAGCGCCCACTGCTTCTTGTGTTCTTAAAACAAAAAATATTAATTATAAATTAAAAATTATTTGCAAGATAAAATTGTGTACAAAACTTTGAACTAACTTTTATTCTTGAGCATGATTGTTGATTTCTATGAGGACTGATGACATGAGCTTCTTTAAAAAGACGATCTTGATCACCACTGTAGTACCTTATTAAAAAGTTAACAATAATGAAATTTAGTGAAATATATTTATTTACTGCTGATCAGACAAAAATACTAAAGTTAAACCTTTCTAAAAGTTTTTCTTTGTCCCATTTAAAATGCGTAAGCAAGATTCTTGCAATAGATCTAGGGATCTAAATAAAATAAAATATACACACACACACAGATATATATATATATATATATATATATATATATATATATATATATATATATATATATATATATATATTATACACATACACATATATGTATGTTGTATATTTTCTAAAATATTAAAGCATATATATATATTTTTTTGTTGTTAGTTCACCTCCTCAAGGCCAAAAAGGCCACTACAGAGGAGGAGGCTACTTAATTGTGGTTATAACTTTCTCTCAACTCTATAACTCTGAAATACGAACGTTGACGAACAAGGCCGCTGTGCAGAGAAACAAATTAAGCGCCAGGGATGTGATGAGGATCAAACTTGGAACCTCGTGCTCTACCACTACACCACTACTGCATATTTAATATATTGTAATAATAAATTGTTCAAATACTTTTTTAAAACTAAACTTTTAATTAACTGCTATCATATTTAAAATAACTGTTTAATTGACATTAAATTGTTTTACGTTTTTAACTTTATATCAGGTAACATATTATTTAAATTAATAATTTTTTAACTATAATTTATTTTTTAACTTAATTGTATTTTGTTCATTAAATATCATTTCTACTTTTTAACTTTAGGCAAATACTTCCTGTTGTGAAAAGAGGACCACCACCTGTCATTTTGAGTGGCAACTTTCAAAAAGGCAAATACTCCATGTTGTAAAAAGAGGGCAACCAACTGAGGTAGAACATGTATAAAATATTTTTTACATTGACAATGGATGCAAAAGTTTACATTAACTGAAAATATGAGAGTACAAGATGGTAAAAGAGAATTTTATTAATGGCTATTAAAAGAGGAAGATACTATGAAAGGATGTATTGAAATACCATATCAGTGAAATATCAGAGAAAACAACTCAGTTGTTGAAAAGATATTTGGAGATGCTGATCAAGATAAATATAAACAAGTTATTTTAACACCAATTAATAAGGATTCCCTCTCAACCAATCAAAAAGTGATTGAATATTTACCAGGAGAGATAAAAACTAACTCAAGTAATAATTAAATTGAAACTGATGAAGTTAAAGAAAGAAAACATTTTCCTGTCGAGTTTTTAAACAGCTTAACTCCTTGTATACCTCATTGTTTAAAATTAAAAATTGGGTATGTGATTATGTTACTTAGAAATTTAGATATCAAAGCTGAGTTATGCAATGGTACATGAAAGATTGTGCTTTTCAAAATAATTATATTGATGCAGATTTTCTTTTATTTATCATTTATACTTTTTATTTATTTGAACATTGTTTTATTGCATTATCTAACCAAATTATTAAGAAACTCATAAACTGTCTGATTTTTATAAAAACTAATTCAATATAAAACTTCAAAAGTTGAATTAACAAAATAACAACTTTTGAATGATTTTATAAAATTATTTAAAATAATAAAATTTGCTAAAAACTCAAATTCATTTTTTATCTTAAGTGTTTTTTATAGTTTTGCTCTTTGAATGATATTTTATAGTTGGCTTTTTATCAAAGATATTCATTCCAAATTAATCCCATTACAAAAATGATATTATAATTTTTTCTTAAAAAACTGGTTTTCATTTTTATTTCTGATGTTTTTATTTTTTATTTTTTATTATTTTGCCATGACAATGTAAGCACGTAATTATTAGTTTAACCATTATCTCTATTGATAATAAACATTTTAAGTTATTATAATATGGTTTTTTGTATAACAAGCTGTGGTTTCCCTGTCCTGTAGATGCCAGCTGTTATAACAGATTTTAAAAAGTACCTTCATAATAGAAGTTGTGATGTCTTCAACATTGTTTATTAAAAAAATTGAAAAATGTTGTGATTTAGTTTAACTTTTCATGGATTTGTTAAAACATTTTCTGTAAACACAAGTATAAATAAATAACAAGTATAAAAAAATAAATAAACATAAAATAAATAGCTCAACGCAAAATTAGGAGGAATGCAAAGCAAAATATATTCTAGATGTTATTTGCCAAATATTTGCCAAATATGAACCGTATGATGCTGATATAAATAGTTAATTGGCAGATGTTAACATAACTCTAAAGTATTATCTCTTACAGTGTTAGTTTTTTTTGTAATTAAATTTTGCCGCAATATTAAATAAAATAAAGATAGTAAAAGTAATAGAACAGAATGAAATTTTAAAGAAAAATAGACAAGATAGCTAAGGCTTGGATATTATAGAAGCCAAAATATTCAATTAAGCAAAAATATTTAATAATTCAATTAATCAAGCAATGCAAGAGGAAACAGTTAATAAAGATCTCTAATGATGATCTCTAAGATCGTTACTTTTTACTAAAAAATAAATAAAAAATAAGTGAGAGGTGTGTATCAGACCTATTATGACCCGTATTACAGATTCAATCTTTCTAGAGTCTTATAATTAAGATATTATGTAAATTTATAGTATTTTATATTATATCATGTAAACAAGCTGACAACATGTCAGGAAACTGCTGCAAAATCAACTGAGGGTTTGGGTTATGGAAGTGATAAGTTTTTTTCATTATTCTTATTTATTAGAAATATACACAAATAGTCTTGCAATAATATTCATTAATATCATAATGAAATATCTGCAGGAGCTTCAGTATATTGACTGAGGGTTTGGATTGCCTTCATTATATATTTTTCTTCAAAAAAAGTTGCAATTTTAAAGCTTAAAGTGTGCAAAATATTATTAGGGTAGTGCCAACCTAAATCTGTTAAAGTGTATATGCATACATTTTACATTTTTATTTCAAAGTGAATACAAAGACAAATACCATAAACATATGGTTATTATTTTAAAAAACAAAAAAATAATGATAACAAAAAACTATTGGCACTAAAATAACTTTTAGAACTTTTTAGAAGTTTTTTGAGAATATTTTAAAATTTTGGTAGTTTATCTCTAAAACTATATTTAACACATAAGATACTGACTAAATCATTCAAATTATAGTAACATGTGCATTGTATTATATATATATATATATATATATATATATATATATATATATATATATATATATATATATATATATATATACACACACACACACAAAGGAAAATTGTGAAAGGCCTTTTAGTGCTAATTATCATTTATTTATAAGTATATATATATATATATATATATATATATATATATATATATATATATATATATATATATATATATATATATATATATATATATATATATATATATATATAAATATATATATATATATATATATATATATATATATATATATATATATATATATATATAAGCTTAGGAATAGTAACTAACTCCTTAAGATGAGTTTCAGGATCTTCCTCTTTGTAAAATATTTCTGAAGTGTGATATCTTTAACTTCATCTTTCTATCAAAGGTAAAGTTGTAGTAGTATTTATCCAATGATCTAAGATTCTCTTCTTGCAAGGCTCTAGAGTGCAGAATACCTTATAATACAAACAACTGTACTTTCCAACATGACTACTAATTCTGAACACTGAATTTGTGAACTTAATATCAAAAGGAACATTATACTTTACATCTTGCAACTTTAGAGGCTCAATAAGCTTACTGTTAGCTTTAGTCTATTCATATTATGTAATCTCATGACACTTTAATGTGCAGTTAAGCATGACATAAATTGAATTATATTGAATAAATATATTGTATACTGTATATCTATATTGTATATGTATATGTGTATTTTATAACTACAATACATGCAAGGTTTGAATTTAGTGATTTATTAAGGTTTATTTTTAAATTACTGCGCAAATTTTTTGGACCTATGGTACTAATTTTTTTTCCTTTAGCTTTATTTTTTATTTATAATCCTTATATTACCTGGTATTTAAACAAACAATAATTTAAAATATGCAAGTTTTGACTGTTTTTATTTTTGAAGTAGTAAATTTATTGTTTTATTTTTTCATTATTTTTTGCAATATGATAAACTGACCAATCCATTAAACCAGTGTCCATGGTTTTTAATAAACTGAGAATTTGGTGACTAGAAATTTTCTAGAAATCTCAATTCGTGATCGCTTAATTCGAGTTTTGACATTTATAAACATATACATACATATACAATATATTTAAATGTTTTAATTTATATTATTTTTATACTAAGTATATGTATACGAATATACATTTATGAATATACATACATTAGGAAAATTAAAAGCATTTTAATAATAAATGTTTCAACATAAAAAAATAAGTTTTCTTATTTCATTTTTCTTCTTTTAACTTAGAACTTTTAATTAAGAAAATGTATATAAGTAAAACAAAAGTAATAACTAGATAATAATAAAATAAAAAAATAATAATAATAATAATAAATAATAATATAAAAAATAATAAGTAATAATAAAAAAAAATTAAAAAATATTAACCAAAATATAGAACTTAATTGTGGATATCTTTTCTATCCAGTTCTCCAGGTACTCTTCCCAGGTCCAGTTCCCCAGCTACACCTTGTTTTTTATTGAGTTTGTATAGATTTCTGTAGCAATCGTTGCACACAATCTTAAGATAGTTGATTAATTTTAAACTATACTGGTTCTTGATGAAGATTTTATTCTGTTTCAATTGTAGAAGGGTTTTTTTTTAGTTATAATGACTTTTTACAAAATTGTGTGAGTCAAACAGTCCACTCATTGTTCACACAATTTATTAATTTTGTGGATTTTCAACTTGTCCAATTTTATAAACAATTTTTGATTTAAAATAATAATTTTTAAACAACAATTTTTTGTTGTTTAAAAACAAGAGTCCAACCCCTCATAAGTTCTAAAAGATTTGATGAGGTTTGGCATGCTGATCTTCTCCATAAGCTCACTTCATATGGTGTATCTGGGTAAGATTTTTAGAACATTAAGTCATTTTTTTAAAACTTTAAAACTGCAGTTTAAAATCATCTTCAAAGGCTAAGACTCTTCTTCATTTTCAGTAACTTCTGGGGTACCACAAGGTTCTATCCTTGATTTTGTATTGTTT